CTCAAGGAGACAGAATTGGAAGAACTACGGAGAGGGCCAGAGAACTGAGTTGTGGCTTCAAAGGCTCTCTCTTATTTTGCTCATGTATCTGATGATGGCACCGTTGATCCCAGGAATTGTATTAATCTCCAGTGTTTCCACTCATTTTCATACAACAAATCCTGACTGTTTCTCTGTAGGACGCTGAAAGGGAAGGGGGATGATGAAGGACGAGCTGGACCAAAAGGTCTGAAAGAAAGCAAAGAGAAAAGAAAAGCTTCAGCCAAGGAGGTATAATTTCAAAGGGGAGAGAAAAGTTAGATGTGAAAGGGAAGAGTGAGGGACTCCAAAGAAGCCTCCCTTATCAGAATTGGTCAAGAAGAACCAAAACGTGAGTGTTCCAGATCAGAAGGGTTGATGCTAGAAAGGTTGTCCAACAGCATTGCAGTAGGCAGAGAAGATCAGGAGGAAACATGGCCCGGTTGTAGCTAGAATGTGGGATAAAGATCAACAATATGATTGTTGTCTCCAAACGACGATTATCAGAAGTGTTCTGGGTGACTCTTTATGTTCAATGATTCATAATCCATCATTCAACTGATCCCCTTCATTTCCCCCACCATGAAGTCCCAGACCAATAATAATAACCTCCAGTTCAGACATCATCACATCTCTGAGAATCTAAGTAGGTATGGCACCAAGAAGGAAGCATCTTACAGTTTGAGAAGGTTAAGCGGAACCAAGAAGAAGATGTCACACATTGCCCAGTCATGCATATCGGTGATCGCCTCCTGAAAGGTTTTTGTTCAGCTCTTCAGTGAAATTGTAGCACTGTGTACGAGCCACTGTCTGTATAAGAGGCACAATAATACCCAGCCTCATCTCCTTCCTCAATCAGGTTGATGGTTAACACGGCAGATGTTCTGGAGCTTTCAACAGAACCAGAGAATCGTGCTGGGATTCCAGAGGGTCTGCTGCTATCATAGTATATCATGAGTTTCGGGGCACTGCCAGGTTTCTGTTGATACCANAGTCCCAGCCATTTTTAGTAGATAGCCCAAGTCTTCAATTACCCATAAAGGAAGAGGAGAGGATGAGAAGAAGAGGCAGCCAAGGCATGGTGGAAGATGGGATCAGGACTGAATTGTCTGCAGAGCCAGCTGTCCTCTCTGCTCTTAAGCCTTTTGCCAGTGGGGAATTCAAATTCATGCAAATGTCCTGCCTGCTCATCAATTCTTCCTCAGATATGAGGACCTGCTTCAGATAAAAGGAAAGAGCATCCTTTGAAGATTCCTTCTCTTCAAGCCTTAGGATTTGCTGGTGGAGCTTTTGAGGACCCTCCTCTTTTTAGCTGAGCAAGAACTTTTGGGAAGGACTTCAGAGCCCGCTGCAGAAGACAAAGTTCACATGAGGAACATCCTCTCTTTCTCTCCTTGATTCTTCTTTGTTCAGGCTGAGGAACATCCCTCTCAGCTCTTCAGGGAAATTATGGCCCATTTTAGAGATGTTAAGAATGACAACTGACTATGTTAGTTCACAAATGTTCCTGACCACCTGCTATGCTCATCAAAGGGAATCTCCAAGAGTTGACAGTTCAGAAGCTACAGTACAGGGACTACTAACATAAGAGCTGGTGTCCCACCATGATATAAAAAGGAAGCTGGATGCAGGGCACTCCGTACAGGTTTTCACCAAATCAGGAATATGGTACAACTTTTTACAATTAACACATTGCATTCAAAGGTCACAATATTTGTCAGCTGCAGGCCACTTCATCACATAGATAGGGTGACCTGACTGATATAGGATTTCATTGGGGAGTGAAGATTGGATAGCCAAGGAAGGGCCATTCATAAATATAAGAACAATAATTGAGCTGTGATATCTCCCCAGATGGAACCCAATTCTAGATATATCAAGAATATCCGAACTGACAAAAAGTTGACCTGGATTACAGCTAAACTAGTGCGGTTTCTCTGAGGATTATCACACTGCCTTTGTTCCTTGCCTATCTCACTGATTTTATTGATTCACCCATTTAAATTCAGGATTACCACAGAACGTAGAATAACA